CTAACATGACTACAAACTTGACTATTATAGATGATTATCTATTAACCTATATTTCTTAATTATATATTGCATTTTTAAATGAGCTGTACAATCACAATACCTTAATCAAGAGCAGAAATATACATAGAACAAAATTGATCTTAAATTTGTATTAATAAACCAAGATCTATACCAATGCAAATCTCTATAGCATATCTCCCTTTAAATGTAAACAAACACTTATAGACAATATTTGGAAATATGGGCGTAGTTCTGTCTAAACTTCTTCCTGCTGTTTATTGGACGAAGTAATTTTCTGAGGGGTGTTCAAGGCAACCTTTCAGGGGGGTTTAGTCCATCAAACCACATTAATCTGGAAAAATTCTACAGGTTCTCATACTCTGTGGAAACAAAAGGAAAACCTCTTTTCCAAAGCAACATATCCTTAGACCCAAATTCTGAAGTCAAGATACTTTTATAATATATATGCTGATTTAGTTTAGAAGTCCATACAATGAAATGTCTCTCTGTACTTAGCTCCTTCACAGCCAAAAAATTTAAAGAAACACAATAGTATACATAATCCAGACTCTCTGCAAATTTTACATTGTCACATGGCTTATTATTCTTTCTCTATTACTTTTTAATATTTATTTTATTATCTTTACTCCTTTACTCTATTACTGTCTGTACTCTTTCATATTACAGGTACTGTCTCTTTACTCTTTTTCTTCTCTCTCCCAAGCCTATGTACATTTTTTAAACACTGTGTCTCGTTTAGAGGTCTTTTATGTCTGAATCTGTCCTATTGTGCATCTGTAATTTGTTACTGTCCAGAAGTGTTTGTTAAAATGCTAAACCCTTCTTATGAACTTAAGGTGCGCCATTACTAGGTCAAATATGGCCTTGCCTGCTTGCTCCGCTCAGTCCAACATGGTGGAAGAGGTCCGTTCACCGCTTCTGCAAGCCATGCACACCGCCCCAGTTCCAAGAATGCAGCAGGTCCATGTCGAGCCATTAAGTAGTTGTTGCACTCCTGCTCACAACAAAACTCATTTAAATGCTTGAAAGCCAGACCTCGTCAGAGTTCACACTGGCTGCATAGCTCAGAAAGCCAGCATTTTAAAACCACACCTTATTTTTTCTGCTTTGGCTGAATCAGGAAAACCTCTGTTAAAGGAGCCATGCCTCTGCTTGCTTCTAGCAAACAGAACCCATCCAAGAAAATGATGCTACCAAACCACGCTTAGCTGTTTTCTTTTGTGTCTAGGATTCCTTTTTAAATACTCTCGGGTTTTACGTGGATTTAGTCAACCACGTTGGTGCCAATTTGTTGGAGGGAAGGAACCACTTGTTGGTTCCCTGCTGCTTAGTCCCGAAATAATCACACAGAAACTATATTATTTAAAACACTGTTTGGCCCATTAGCTCTAGCTTCTTATTGGCTAACTTTTATATCTTAATTTAATTAATTAATCTGTGTATCATCACGAGGCAGTGGCTTACTGGATAAAGTTCTGTTCAGTTCCAGTGGGGCTACTTCCCTCTGACTCTGCCTCCTTTCTCTTAGCATGCCATTTAGTTCTCTCTGTCTACCTAAGTTCTGCCCTGTCAACAGGCCAAGACAATTTATTTATTCATTAATGGGAATCACGGCATACAGAGGGAAATCCCATATCAGTCCTCTCTCTTTATTTTCACTGCTTTCTCTACAAATTCTACATGGCCACACTGGCCTCTTGCCATTTCTTGGCTACCCCTACGTGCTCTTAGCTTAGGGCCTCAACCTACTGTTCTCCAAGGCTTAAGTGCTCCAATACTTGCTTGATGCACTCTCTCACTTCCTCTCACCAGTGAGGCCTGCCCTGAGTTTAGCCAACCCCCCAACCGGCATCTGGTTCTCTTTCCTGTCTCTAATGTTACCTCAACATAGGACAATTTATTCACTTTTACACATGTCTTCCCCTATCAAATCAAATCAAATCAAAGTTCTGTGATGCAATGTAGGGCAGAGGCTGCTCCTTTGTTCCTGGCTGCCCAGACCTGAAATAAATACACAAAAAACTATATTAGTTGCAATACTGTTTGGCCAATAGCTTAAGCATATTTCTAGCTAGCTCTTACATTTTAAATTAACCCATTTCTATTATTTAATATTTTACCATGAGGATTGTAGTTTACTGACAAAGTCCTGATGTGTCTGTGTCCTGAGGTGGCTACACGGCATCTCACTGACTTTGCCTTCTTTCTCCCAGCATTCAGTTTACATTTCCCACCTGGCTCCACTTTCCACTATCACAGGCCAAAGCAGCTTCTTTATTCATTAACCAATAAAAGCAACACAAACACAGAAGGGCTTCCTACACCAATGCAGTATTTTTGTTTTGCTTGTTTTCTGATTATATCCCAAGAGACTGAGAGAGCACTGGTGCATGCGACTAGATGGGGAGTCACTGATTCTTCTGTACATGGCTCTAGAAAACTGAGAGCAAATGTGTTGAAAATAAGTGTGCATCTCTTTTCAAATGTTTGCTCTAAACTCTATATAGATGAGAGGCTTCAGAAAAATGACTGAGAACTAAGGAAAGATGGCCTAGTCTAAAGAATTTGTGCAGACTAGGACATCAGTAGCTGTCATCTCGTACTGTTTCTTTAAGGTTAAAGTACAGCAAGGATTTCAGGACACACACCCAAAACCTAAAAAGCCACAATGAACTTTCAGTGGATTCTTGAAGATTAATTTCATTTTCCTCATTTCATATTATTGGCAGACCACAATCCACGACTGTAGCACACAGAGAAGGCAGGTCAATAGGGTAAGAGAAGCACTAATGTAACCTCTCTAGTTTTGCATTATAGAAAAACAATACCTAACATTTTTATCTTGATGACTAAAGTAACATCAAATGGTTACTCACTGTCAGGAGTGTTTGGGAGACTGTACGGCAGTTACTCTGTTTTGTTACCATGAAGTTACTGGGGGGAGGTGCTGGAGCGGCTGCTCAGCAGTGAGAGTGTATACTGCTCATCGAGAGCACCTGAGTGTAGATCCCAGCCCCTGGGACTCCAGATCCAGGGATCCAGTACCCTCTCCTGTCCTCTAGAGGTACCTGTACACACACACACACACACACACACACACACACACACGCACGCACACACACACGCACACACGCATGCCCGCACACACCAAATAAAGAAATTTGCAGAAAGAAAACCCGAAGTTCTTAGTGGTGATTTGACTCAGTTGACAAACTGCATGCCAAGCAGGCATGAGGAATGAGTTTGGATAACGAGCAGCCGTGCCAGCGTCAAGAAAGTCAGTGCACTGCCCGTGACGCTACTGTTTGGGGGTCACGGCAGGGTGGAGCACAGACAGACAGATCCCTGCAACTCATTAGTCAGTCAGCCTTGCTGAATCTACGAGTTTCAGGTTCGGTGAGAGAAAACATGTAGAGAGTGAGCAAGGAATACTCAGCATCAAACTCCGGCACACCTACACACACCCACACGAACATCTGCATACAGAACACACACAAAGTTATTAATATGGCAGCCATATCTATGTGTCAGAAAGACCTCGAAAACTGAACAGTCTATGTTCCAAAGCCAGTGCCTCAAAACTTTTTCCAGACTCTGTTCTGGGACCTTTTGTATCTGATGCTTTAACAGGCTTGATGCCATCTAGTGTTGGAGCAGCAGACATTGATTATAAAATATTGTTGATTGCTCTGTGGCAAGAAGCAGCAGCTGGCATTATGAAAAAGATGAGATGGTACATTTTGAATTTGAGAGCTTGAAGCCACTTAATATGGCTGCCTCTAACTCACAGCATGGTGTAGTCATGGAAACCCACATTGGCAACTCCGAGCCAGCAAGAGGCTCAGTGTGTTCTCTGCCCAGTGCTGTTGTAAAGAATTGTAGTTTCGACACGCCAATCCTTTCAGAAATTTTGAGGTTACTGTGCAGTTATCTAGAATGCTGTAGAAGGGCTTACTTCCCAATATTGATAGATTAATAAGACAATATTATATGCATAAAATACATGACACTGGAGAGGATATTTATAAAATAGAAGAAAACAAAGCAGAGGTCGTGTCCCTCTAACGCAGCGGTTCTCAAGCTGTGAAGTCACAACCCTCTGTGGGTCACATAGCAGATATTTACGTTATGATTCATGACAGAAACAAATTATGGTTATGAACTATCAACGAAATAATGTTTTCTTTTTCTTTATTCTTCTTTCATATATTACATCCCAGCCACAGTTTCTTCCTCCTCCTCTCTTCCCAGTCTCTCTTCTTCACCTCTCCTGTGCCCCATATCTACTCCTCTTCTGTAATGAATTAATTTTATGGTTGGGGATCACCATAACCTGAGGAACTGTATTAAGCAGTCGCAGCATTAGGAAGGTTGAGAACCACTGCTCTCGAGATACTGAGAGTCTCATTTAGGACTATTTATTTCTTAGCAGACACAGGTCCTGCTCTTAAATTGCTTCCAGCTTAGTAACTTAATAACCTTACAGTGTGATAAGTTTGGAGAAAAAATTAAGGTCAAATGCTTCATAAGAAGGTCACCTGACTGAGTGTTTTGAAGGGAAACAGTGTCCTGGAAGCCTCCTTGGATGTGAAATCTTCTATTGAAGATTAACATGTAAATGAATAGGAAACATTCAGACAAAGGTGGAGATAGGTGGAATGGGATATTGACCTATTAGTAGGTGTTAAATGAAAATCAACAAATACGGAACAGCGAAGTGCCTGTCTCAGAGCTAGCTAGCACTATGGACATTTTGAGCGTTAGCTTTGCATCTGTGCAAGCATCACTCTCCTAAGGGACAGAGAAGCATGTGCATAATGTGATGTAGAATGTATGTAACCCCTCCAAGGTAATCGCTAGAGGCAGAAAGTGCCTAAAGATTTGAACAGGCATGGTAGATAAGAGGTGAAAAGACCTGGGAAGGTTCTTAACTACTTTCCACCACTGTCCTTGACTGTAAGCAGTATCTCTGTTTGTAGATCCGGCTGCTAAAGGACTTTCAACATTGGAAATGCCACGGGAATCTTCATCTGCCCCTACATTAGAAGCAGGTGCCCCTGAAACAGGCAGCCACTCGTCAATATCAAGTAAGTGTTTCTCAGTGATGGTTTTTTGTGTGTGTCACTTTTGGGACATGATCTGTACATATTACTTTCGATTTTGCTAGCCCTCCTACTTTAAAAAAATGCTGTACTAGCTTCCTCAGTGATACAGTGTTGTGTGTTCTATGAAACTCCTGAGGGTAGCATGGCCTGCTCTAGCCCATACATCGAATGTTGGATTAATCATATGGGCACAGATTGTCCAAGAACCCTAATTTATTAAAGAATAAATACAAAATTTCATTATTCAGCAAAGTAAACATCACTACTAGCCTGAGCATAGAACACAGAGCTGGCCATGTAACACAGGCAAAGCTTTGATTATGGCAGAATCTTACTTGGAACTCATTGTTTTCATCTGAGTTATCTTCCATCCTGAACACAGCTTTATCTGAGTTATCCAAAATAAATGTATCAGGACCCTGTGGGCACAACTAAATCTGCTCTTTTTAGGCTGAAAAATAACAATGGCCCAATGCATTATAAAACCTATATGAGGTATTTTGAAACTTCCCCCTGCTATAGGGTGCTAGGTTTTGGCCATGAGAAACTTGAGTTCCATTGCTGTACCATCAAGGTGTTTGCTCAGCTCAGTGGTGTCAGGAGATGCTCAGCAAAGAGAAATTGTTGGGAGGAATCAGTCACCCAGACAGACAGAAGTGTACTTTCTGGAGCTCTTTCTCTCACGTCCTGATAAATTTGTGTTCCATATGGATGCTGCCTGAAGAGTTAGTGAGTCTTCATGGACCATCCATTGAAAGGCAGATGCTTTGAAAAGCCAGATATAGATCTTAATGTAAATGCTGGTCTGGTTGTATAGAAAGGAATCATTGTCACCATTTATCCCTTCATGCATTCTTTCATTCATTATTCATTCATTATTCCATGGGTTTCTGGTGGGGGCCAGGTATTGTGATTGTCATTGGGAATCACAAGTGAATAAATAGGACCCCCCACTTCCTCAGGGAGGAATTAGTACAGTCTTAATGGTGATCCTAGATATCATTTATTTGATTCTCCTCCTGTATTTATTTGATATCTCCACCATGGCAAATCGGTCATACATAGCATGAGCACTGCATGGGGACAAAGGAGGAAGACTAAATGGCTGGCCTAATGTCACAGAGCCACCAAGTGCTGGAGGGTGAAGCAAATCAATATTATTTTTAGTGGTCACACAGTCTCTGAATAATTCTAAATCAATTGTAAGACTGTAAATTTTTAAGAAATAGTTTCTAAGCAACAGATATTTTTGCCTTTGGTTGCAAAATAGAATGGCTAGTTCTAAAGCTAAATATTTTATTTATTTTTTAATCATGAAAAACATAAGATAACTTGACAAATCTCAACTGATCATTTTCTCTTCTTTATTTGCATGAATCACCTTTAAAAACAAAAAGATTCTGAATTCCTGCTTAGAACTCTACATAGCATGATTTGAAATGGCCAGAATGGTTAAATGACTCTAATTCCAGTGTGTCAAATGGGTCAGGATCTCCCAGTTGTGAAAGCCTAGCCCTTTGGGAGAGAGTTTAGCACATTAGTCCCTATCTTTCCTGCCCTTGTCACAAAAAGCATTCATCATAGAATTTGGTGGTGTGCTCTTGGAGGCAGATGCCAGAAACCTCATCCACTGGGGTTTTTGCTCTCAGGAATTCTGCAGTCTTTAGAATCAGTTGAGAGACTGGGAATGTAATTCGTTGGTAGAGCCCTTGCCTGTTTGTGGGGGCTCTGGGTTCCATCCCCAGTACTGTAAACCAAAACAAAGCTAAGAACTGGGGAAATTCTTTCTCAACACTAGAGGTCTCATGTCGTTGACTGAGTCTGAAAGATGCCACTTATTTTTTTAATACTTTCAAATTCTCTTAAGCTGGGTGCATAGTTCAGTCAGAAGGCCTAACATGTGCAAGGCGCTGGGTTCAAAACCCTGAATAGTTCTGCTTTTGAAATTTTTTAAAGCTTTACTTTTCAAGTGAGTTGCAAACTTATAAAATTTGCCGATCAATAAACAAATCATTTGCTGTTCAGTTGGTTAGCTATTTCCACAAATTTAATGAATATGGGCTCCAAGACACACAAATCCCATCACATCCCTTTCTTGCTCAAGTTGCCTGTTGATTGTTTTGTACCTAAACCTGCCGTGACCACCGTAAGTCAAGCAGCAGCTGACCACACCATAAGCGATGTTATAAATGATGCCCTGCATGCCTACTGCTGCCTCGTTGTTGGCTGCGAAATCGGTACATAGCATTCAGAGCTGTCCAAGGGCTGTGTAGTGGACATCTTGGTCTCTGTGTTCCTTTCTGGGGTGTGCAGTTCATGAGCTTTGGCTTCTGAATTTGCCCTTTCAAGTGAGTTGGGCAGATGAACCCAAGTTGTCAACCTCTGGGTGCTTGGGGGTTAGGCCTATGGGCCATCTTGTTGAGGTTGAGTGCTCACATTGGGCTGGTGCTTAGGCATTGAGTGTCTCACAGGGGAAACAGGAGCAAAGGCAAGGGTGGCTTTCTAAGTTAACACAACTGGCAGTGTGCTTTTTATTCTCTGGTTTGGAAGAGCTTACAACTTTTTGTTGCCGAGAATCATATCAGGGCTTAATTGAAGAACAAAAACATTACCATTGTTTTCTCAATTTTCCAAATAGTAGACAGGGGGCTCACACAGCTTGGAAACAGTGCAGACTTTTAAATAAATGTTTTGGCTTATCTCAATTGCTTTTGATTCAATTCAAGGTAACACTGTTTGTTTTAAATTCTTTTTAGAATGTGGCAGAGCACATAAGTAAAAAAAAAATTCACTGATAACTGAGTAAATATGTATAGTTGATAGATCAATGCCAAGGAGCACTACTATTGCCTGTACCACAGAGACACTGGGAACAATGAAAGGCTTAAGTTTTTCACTTGATTAGGAGTAATCAAAAATGACTAATAACTAAGAAAGACTCAATTAAGATCTGTGTGGATGTATAGAGCCTGTGTGTGCGATGGGAAACATATTCCGCCCAGTAATCATCTCCTAATTTCCTTCGTATAGCTCAGTATAGGCAGATGAAAAGGGGATCTCTGGGAGTTGTGACAATGAGCCAGTTAATGAAGCGACAGCTGGAGCATCAGTCTAGCGCCCCCCATAACATCAGCAACTGGGACACTGGTGGGTCAAGCCTTTTCTTCTTGTTTGCTCTCAGATTAGCTAATGCCACTTTCTCTCTGTCCACTTCTTGTGTGTTTTGGTTAAAATAGGTGTTTTTTTAAAATACCTGGAAGTAATTAACACATATTCAGATTTTTAAGTGCTCTAGAGCATTGCGGCCTACATCTAGACTGATCCCCGCTTAGGCTCGTCTCTGTTTAGACTGGTCTCCATTTAGGCAAGCCCAATTCTTTATTCCTTTAAAATCCAGATTTCAGATCTCAGATTATCTGCCTGAGGAGGAGGGGTGGAGCTATGGTCTCATGGCACAAAGTTTTAAAAGAGGTCATCAAATTCTCTTTCATGGAGTATGAAGTACTGAGGTTAGTGATGATTTGATGACAAACGGCAGCTGGTAATGGCATCATCCACCAGTTTGGGAACGAGTTGTGTATTTTAGCCTGCAGGGTCACCAGGTGGCAGCCGCACACCCTCACGTGCACAAGCCAGAACTGCACCTTACCTGTCATACAGTAAAAATTGACTGCGGTGGCACACCTATTTTAAATATGCCTGCTTTTCATTTCCTGAACCTTAAGACATCTTCTACCTATGCTGCCTCTCAGCTCACTGCGCCGCAGTGATTCCCTTTCAAGGGCCTGCCTTTCCTTAGTCTTTCTTCTTAATTTAAATGGGTCATTTGCGGCACAAGATTATAAGCATAAAAGCACCTTGAAGTGTGCAAACACCATGAAAATATAAGGGCTGATTACTGCAACATGCTGCGGGAGTGCACTTTAGTATCCTGCTTATTATTTTCTGGCTCCAATTGTGAGATGATTTTTAATTTCTTCATTATGATGCAGAATCACAGCATGCATACAACCAAAATGTTGGGCTGTTTTTTAAATTGTATGTATGTCTTCCTATTTACCTTTGTTGTTCTTCAAGAAGAGATTCACATACCACACTCAAACCCGTGTAACAGACAACTTCAGTCTCCTGGACTTAGAGGAGCATTTAGCATGTCAAAGGCTTGGTGTTTTCATTCACTGGCATGTAGGAGTGAGCCATGAGTAGCCAAGAGGAAACAGACAAGAGAGAGAGAAGAAGAGACGCTGGCTACCCATCCCCAAGGATGTATTTGGTTTTTAACATGGTCTCCCCTCTTTGTACCATGGAGGACTGTGCCTCCCTCTTGAGAGATGGGGCTGTGTAGCCTGAGAAGCACAGTTCAGTTAGATCTTTGGTACTAAATGCCCGGGTTGACTTGGGGGCCCTGAAAGTCATTTTGCTGTGCTGTTGTAGCTCAGTGTGTAGCATAGCCTCAGCCAATGTAGATTCTGACTACATCCCAATTTGATTAAGTAGAGTTAAATGTAACTTGACCTCAATTTCTGACCTGTACTTGAAGCTCCAAAACCCTCCATGATGCTGAGTAGCCCATGTAGCCGCTTTTTTCACGTTTCAACCTGGCTTAATGTTTCTTGTCTTCTTGACTTCACACTTAAGAGTCCATGTTGTCCCAATTCTTTTCATTGGAGCTTACCGGGGCTTATTTTTTTCATTTTCCACCCTCCAATTGGTTCACTTATCTCTGAGTCCCTTAGTAAAATCTTTAACTCATTATTCTCAAGTTTTTAAATGCTTTGTTTGTTTTAGACACTATCTTTCTTTGTTACCCGGACTGGTCTTGAACCTCTGGGCTCAAGTGATCTTTTTGCCTCAGCCTCCTACAGTTGAGTCTATGTTGCACCCAGCTTCATTATTCTCATGCTTATTACCTGAGCCCAGCAGAAGAGACTCTGAATGCCTAGTATGACGTTAAGTGACATGTCACTTTGAATCATGCACGTTGCTTCATTGGCTCTTGAGTTTCCACTAAGAATAGCTGTGATCATGTAGATATGCTGAGAAAGAAGCTTAAGTTGAGTTGTGATGAATCGCCTCAGCATGTGCCAGCTCATTCATAGATAGTCTGCCTCTTTCCCAGCGTACACTTCTTCTATGTGAATGGATAGTCCCTAAGTGCCACTCCATTCCTGATCCTTATTCTGGTTCTCCGTCCCTCAGCCAAATCCCTACCATCTTCTCTACCATGTGGCTCCTGTGTGAACTGTTGGCCATTACCCTGGAGTATCATTGATGTATTTGTTGGCCTGCATAAACCATTCTTCCATGGCCATGGCATTGGCCCTTTATTTCATATCTGGAGACACAGGATTTGAGCTCCTTTGAAACAGAGTGGGACTAGAACTTAAAAATAGTTTTAAATCCTCTACCATTTCAGATGTAGTTCATTTAACTGAGTGACAGGTTTGTAACAAAGCTTGAACAACCCTACCTATCCCCCAGGTTTAGTCTTTTTGTGTTAATAAAGTAACCATGACAAAGATGGCCTTATATGATGGTTGGCTGCATTGTTTGTGTTTTGACTGTGCTGTGACTTGTATTAAACTGACCACACTGAAGACTGAAATGCTCTCTTTATCCACAGAACAGGTACAGCCCGGGAAACGCCAGTGTAACGTGCCAATGTGCCTAAACCCTGACCTGGAGGGACAGCCGCTGAGAACAAGAGGTTGGTTGAGTTCCAGGGTCTCAGACTGTAGACCTGAAGGGCCATGTTCCCCTCACGGATTCACACAGCAGGTGGAGAACATCTTCTTCAACAACTCCACATATTTCCCACCTGCAAAACACCTCCAGGGCTGGAGAACACGTGACAATTCATCCCTGAACATGACCGACAAAGGCTCTGCCGTAGAGTGTCTTTCTAAAGCTTGGGGCCACATGAGACAATTCTAGCGTTTCTCACCTCACACTTTGGACATTTGAAAATAGCGGCCCATTTCTAATCCTCGTTTCAAGACCAGGCATCCCTGGGCTCTTCAGCCTTCCTTCCGAGATGTATCAGTTTTTCATGTCATCCCATGTTCTTTTCCTGAGCAGAGTTCAGATTGTCCTTACTTTTTTCTAGAACGTTGGGGCTGTGGGTGATATGTATGGAAAACACATGCTTTATTCTGGGTGTGGGAGCAAAATGAGTATGCGTTTGCACTGTCATTGAACTTTTTTGCTTTTCCAAATTCATCGCACACATTTAAGTACATATTTAGTTAATCCTTATCTTTGTTATTAAAGTTCAGAAGGCTGGTAAACCTATCATCGCTTATAAAAATAAATTTAAAAAGAAAGAAAGGGATGAGAGAAAGAAAGGGAATGAAGGAAGGAAGAAAAGAAAGAGAAAAGAAAAGATTTCTGACCACATTTTCTAAGTAGTCTCTTGAATCAAGCCGACCTATGTTGCTATAGACTGGGAGCTTTCTGGACACTTCACTGCTAATGAGTAGCCTTCTAGTCTCCTATCAGATGAGATGAGACACTTGTCTATGAGGCTAAGAGATGCTTTCATGAGTCAGGGTGGTTGAAACAAATCTTTGGTGCTTGGTTGTGATCTTAGTGACCTAGCAAAACCAGCGTGAAGTAAAGGTGAATGCGTGAAGGTGATGTCCAGTCTTCCAGTCTTTCTCGCTGCAAGGGGGAGAGTCCGCTGGTGCAGCTGCGGGGCTGATTCGTAGTGCAGTTGCAGGGCTGATGCGTACTTTGAGACAGTGTGCCTGCAGAACCTCTGCTGTCTCTGAGATCCAAAAAGGGATGTTTATCAGCATCTCCATCTTTGAAGTCAGGCTTTGGATTTTATTCCAGTTTCTGAGTGCTCTCTGTTCAGTTCTGTACAGAGGGACTCTGGATATTCTTGAAGGCAACAGTGGTGGTTGGCTCAGAATTGTTGCCAGTAAGTGGGGGACAAAAATGGAGGCTGAGTTTAATACTACCAACTTGGCTGTGGGTCATTTACAAAGAAAAGCGGCTGAGGTCTGTGGTTTTCTTTTCTATATTTCTTGCCTGTTTCCACTTCAATAGCAGGATTTAGCAATCATTGTGCAGCTAATGTTGTTCTATAAGAACCAATGCCCAGTCACCTAACCTGTTTGTTTTGACAGATGACTGCCATAAATATCACAACATACTTTCTGTGTTGTCTTTGAGAAAAACAACTTCGTGGGGCTGCTGTAAGAACACCCCTCTTAGGCAGTGCTTGTTGGGAAGCCGCAAAAATGCCAGAGCTCTGTAATATGAGGGCTGGCTTGTTGGGGTTTCTGTCCCTCCCAGTACCCCAACAGTCGGCAAGCAACAAAGAAAAATCACACACAGGACTCCATAAGATTATAAACTGATTGGCTCATTAGGTCAGGCTACTTATTAGCTCTTATGACACATATTACCCCATTATCCTTATCTACTTTAGCACATGGCTCCGTACCTTTCTCAGCTGGGCAAGTTACATGCTGCCTCTTCAGTGATCTGCGCAGGAGTGGCGAGAGAGCTTCCTGTGTCCCAGAAAACTCCCAGTCTCTTTGCTCCACCTCTACTTCCTGTCTGGCTTTCCCGCCTATACTGCCTGCCTGGCCAATCAGTGTTTTATTAAAATATGATTGACAGAATACAGACAATTCTCCCACACCAGAGCTCTTCTTGTTCCTTTGGTTGCAATCTTACTTGGAGTTGATCCTAGTGAGATTGTGGACACATTGCCGTATATTTTTGGACTGATTTTGTTCTGCTCTGGAATAATCTTTTTCACATTTGGCTAATGTGCCTATCATGAACTGTGGAGGATTGTATTTAAGTTTTGTGCTCTTGTCTGTGACACCGTGCGACATCTTTGTGGGCATCCTTTGTTAACTCCGATATCCCTGGGAAGGGATGCTAGCTCAGGAATTCTGGCTCAGAAACAGCCAATAGATAGGTATGGTAGCAAGATTTGTATTCCCAGTTGGGATCTTAGGAAGGTGAAGATATTTTTAGATGGTTGGTACTTGTGTTTGTAAGTCTCTGCTTCTCAGAAGTACGCTTTGGAAACGTTACCCGGGGAGGTGGTCTGAAGTGCGGAAGCGAGAACTTCAACACCATTTCTACCTCAGACCACAACGTTACATTCCAGGCTAGGCATCTAAAACTTGCATTCTCATGTCTTTAGTGACCATTCTCTCAGCTGTCATTCTTTCTGAGGAGAAAGCATACATTTTTGCCGTGGGTGGGATGTGCATGATCTCATGAATGTGATCTTTTGAGGGTTAATGAATGCAGAGTGGAGAGTTTGCTGACCCCAGAAGCTTGTTTGCACTCATGGTTGTCTCTCTGCTGCTTACCCAGGCGCCACTAAATCTAGCCTGCTGTCGGCACCCAGCATAGCCAGTATGTTCGTGCCTGCTCCTGAGGAATTCACGGATGAGCAGCCAACGGTGATGACGGACAAGTGAGTGCCCCGGTGTTTTGCTTTGGGTATTGAGTTAGAGTTTGGTCCCCGGTGAGGAAACACGCTTTGCTTTGGAGTCACACACTTTACTTTTCCAAGGCTGAAGCTGTGTTGTACACAACTGCGATTTAGAAATGCAAACGCCATGAGCAGTGTTTTGTTTATGCTTTGGCAGCTCCCTCCCCTTTTTTAATTTGGATAGAATCAGATAATCCCACTTACTTCTAGAAACATCTAATATCCATAAAATCTTCAGCCCAGAAATGTCCAATTGTTACACTAGGAATAAAAAAAAAAGAGACTCCATTATTATTTCTTTTTTTTTTTTTTTAAGCAGAGGGGCAGGAGGTTCTAGATGGGGTTTCTCTGCATAACCCTGGCTAGCCTGGCACTCTGTAGAACAGGCTGACCTTGAACTCAGAGAGATCTGCCTGCCTCTGCCTCCTGAGTACTGGGATTAAAGACGTGTGCCACCACCGCCTGACCATTTTATTCCATCCCAAAAGAACAATCCATTCTCTACATCTCAAACTGGTTTGTCACCCCCAGACTGTCAGTTGCAATAGCCCTGAGTTCTTACAGGACTAGGTCCACATGTTTAAATAGAAGGCATCCTAGGGTATGACTGTCCCTACCGTTCCCCTCAGCCCCTTCAGAATCCAGAGCATTCCTGATGTGTTCTCTCTTGGTACTTGATCTTCCTGGTGAACACCTGTTTACACACTTAAGATCTAGCAGAAGGCAAAGTGCCCCTGATGGTGAGGAACAGGATTAGTCATGCCCTTCTCTAGTTTTCGGGCCCTCTGGTCCATGTCTGTCCAACACTTGTCACGGTATATGTTACTTCTTTGTCTGCACAGTACAGGTATGTTTTAAAATAGATTGTGAGTTCCCTGGGATGAGAATGACTTCTTCTATTGTCCTAAGCACCCTATGTCGTCCCTGGCACACCAATATTTGTTTAATGAGTATAATAAATTAAATAAGGCTTGTAGATTTTCAAACCTGGACAGACCCTCAGGACTAGACAGGCTCCTGGATAAAGGTGGCTCACACATCTAATAAAGGCAAGCAAGGTAGAAAGGATGGCGCAGACATCCGCGTGGGATGTCTCATTGCGCAGTCGGAAGTGAGCTGGTGACTGTCTTATGGTTTCTCTGCTGTGATTAAACACTGTGACCAAAAGCAAAGGTATCTTCCAACTTATAGTCCATCATCTAGGGAAGTCAAGGCAGGAACTTGGAGGCAGGAACTGATGCAGAGGCCAAGGAGGAGTGCTGCTTACTGGCTTGTTCCCCCATCACTGTCTCAGCTTGCTTTTTTCTATACCCCTCGACCACCTGCCCAGGGGTGGCACTGCCCGCAGTTAGCTGGGCCCTCCCATGTCAATCATCAGTCAAGAAAATGTCCCACGGACTTGCCCACTGACAGCCTATAGAGGTGTTTTCTCGGTTAAAATCCCTTCTTCCCAGACAACCGTAGCTTGTATCAAGTTGATATAAAAACTTGCCAGCGCAGTGGCCACATTTGAGAAGCAAATGTGCCTGGCTTGTAAAACTGTCTTGGAATGTCCCCAGAGCTTTGATAAAATTTCTCCGTTTTGTGTCATAACCTCTTCCCAAGTTATCATTTTTCTTAGTTGCTTCTGGTTGCTCGTGTGTGTGTGTGTGTGTGTGTGTGTGTGTGTGTGTGTGTGTTTTCCTGTGTGTTCTAGTGTAAATGCATTTGTGTGAGCATGTGTGTGGAGGTCAGAGGTCAGCCTCAGCTGCACTTGGGAGCCATTCACCATGTTGTTTGAAACAAAATCTCTCATTGGCCTCTGGCTCATTTAGGAGGGTAGGCAGTTGGTAAGTCAGACCCAGAGATCCTGCTGGACCTGCTCCCCTTAGCAAGTGCTTGTCACCAGACCCAGCGTTATTACTTGGGTACTAGGACCCAACCTCAGGTCTTCATGCTTCCGTGGCGAACAATTTACCAACTGTGCCACCTCCTTGCCCTTTGCTTTTGTGGCTCTGTCTCTGTCTCCGGGATTCTAAATGGGAATCGTAATGTTAAATTAACTTCTAAGTCTCTCTCTTCTTTTGCTTTTGTTTGGGAGTCTTTTAGATGGAAGGACGCAGTAACTGTAGCTCTGGTTCCTAAGTTATTTTTAGTTCTCAAGTTCACTTTCTAAAGCCGCATTTGGTTGGGCTGAGTGGAACCTATATTAGGACACAGCTAAGCGCAGTAAGTTGTGGGCTTCTTAAAAGCAAGTGGCAGTGCTCTTCCACGTTAGTCCAGTAGGACTAGAGTCACAATGCCGGTGTAAGGGAGCAGAAGGGAAGACCGCAGGCTTTCTGGTGTGTCCGGGTTCACTTGTGTCCTCCGTCTCCTGCCTACATACTGGATAGCTTTTGAAAGCTTCTAACCATATCCAGGCAGTTTTCACTTTGACAAAGAAAAATAAATCTAATTACTGCAATCCCATCCTCCTTTCTTGGTGCTGCTATGAGGTGACTTCCTTCTCCTACATGGCATCATGGCTGCCCTTAAGCACCTGATAAAGCCCAAGATCTTTAAATAGAGGACCCTGAAGGTCATTCTGTAGCAGTCAGAACACTAGATTAAAGTTAGGTACAACTGACAGAAACTCAGAAGTATTGACAACAAGTGTTAGAAGATTGAAGGGCCAGATCCTGATGCCCAGCATCGGTTATAGAACAGGAAAACCAGGCACATGCCAGTGGCTCCCAGAGGTTCCCGGTCCACAGCATCAGGGATCTGGAAGAGTCTGAATGTGAGCAACTCCACCTGTGCTGGGATCACTCAGTGTTTCCTCCAGGAGCTCAAGACCAGCGCGGAAACAGCAGCAAAGGTGACTGTCAGAGCTACCAAACATTGGCGAGCTGTACAATGAAGAAAGTGAAAAATCACGCAACTCGCATGCATTTTTATTTGTGCTTAAGTAAAACAGTAAAAACTGATCCAAAAATCCGGTTACTGAGTATTCTTAGACATAATTTCACTTTCTTAAAGTCCAGGAAGGTGCTAGTCTACCTGAAGCCCTTTCTAAAGGAGCAGAGACCCTGCAGGGTCAGATGCCTGTGGACTGAACCACGAAGGAACGTCCATGATCTCTGCCACCCGCACTCGTCCCATGTTTTATGGTGACAATGGCACTGGATTCTCCACTTACATTAGAGTGACAGTTACCACCTTTGGGACCTTTCCCAAGACTTCTGACAAATGCCAGTGTTTGTGTGTTAGCTTTCTAACGTCTTCTGTCTGTATTCTCTGCAGATGCCATGACTGCGGGGCCATTCTCGAAGAGTACGATGAGGAAACCCTGGGACTAGCCATCGTGGTCCTCTCCACATTCATTCACCTGAGCCCAGACCTGGCGGCCCCGCTGCTGCTGGATATCATGCAGTCTGTGGGAAGGTGAATGTTAGGTTCTGGTTTATCTGCTAGGAAGGGGCCTCCCTTAAAACTGCACCCTAAAATCGGAACATCCAGTCACTTTGGAGATGCCTGGTACCTAAGGGATCAATTCTAGACTAGTTTTAAAAAGACGGACAGAAGCATCTTTTGATTTTATTCCCCAGCTGTTCCAGGTCATGAGTCAAGGTCAGAGAGAAGCTAGAGGAGCTGTGCGAAGGGCTCTGATGGCTGCTCCATCTGCTGTATGAGCTGATATGTGTGCTAGTGTCCATAGAAGGCTTTGTATTCTCTCTTGTGACCTGTTTTGTGGTGAACCTGACACTTCTTTCGTGATCTCAAGGAAGATCTTGAACTTAACTGAACTTAACTGTTCAATTCAGGGCATCAATGTGTGCCCTTCACAGATCAGGCTCAGGTAAAGGGAACAGGACCTTCAGTCTGAGTGTTATTATGAAGGGAGTTCCCTTCATGTATAGACATTAGAATGTGTTTTGTGCTCATGACTAAATTCCAGCTCAGCAATAACAGTGCAGCTCATAGATACTGTGTTAAGTTCTGCATGAGCTTGCTAAGTTCTGATCTCTGCCAGCACTGCTGGGTGCCTTGAACCGTCACCGTTAAGACCCAGCTTCAGGGCCTGGAGAGAAGGCTCAGTAGTAAAGATCACTGTCTGCTATTCCAGAGAACCCAGGTTCAATTCCCAGCACCCACATGGCAGCTCGCAACTGTCTATTAACACTACCCCAGGGGATCTGATGACCTTTTCTGGCCTTTGAGGGTGCTGCACACACACAGTCAACAGACAGATATGCAAGAATAACACCATATACATAAAATAAAATTAAAGATCAAAAAATAAAAAAAAAACAAGGCCTAGACCTTTGTTCAGGTGATTTGTGGAGCTTTTTGTTTGTTTCCTTTTGTTTTTTTAGATAGGGTCTTGCTATGCAGCCCAGGTTGACCTTGAACTTGCTGTGTAACCTCAGGTGGCTTTGACCTTGTAGTCTTCCAGCCTTAGCCTCCTGAGTTACTGGGATTAGAGATGTATGCCATCATGCCTGGCTATGACTTGGTTGTTGAAAGGGACAGTTTTGTGTGAAATCATTGGGTGGCCATATAAGACAGAAGACCTCGAGAAGCCTGAAATGGAAATGCTTCCCATTGTTTAGAGGAGGCAAAATCTGCAAGCACTCAGAGTTTGGGGGAGGGAAAAACAATCTTTTTGGTTTGTCGGGTTTTTGTTGTTGTTTTTGTTTTGTTTTTGTTTATCTTTTGATTTGGTTTTGATATATTCACTATGTAGCATAGGTTGGCCTCTCACAGGGTTTCCTTCTGTATCCTAGGCTGCCTCAACCAACAATGCTGCCTTCAAAGTGCTAGGATTGTGGGCATGTGCCACCACCTCTACTGAGAGCTAGCCTGAATATAGCGACCCTTAACTTTAAAAATAATAAGAACAGGGGCTGTGGGGATGGCTCAGTGGGTAAGACACTTGCTGTGCAAGCATGCATGCCTGAACTCAAGTTCCCAGTGTCACATAATAAGGCAGGCATTCATGGGTGAGTGCCTGTAGCCCCTGCGTTCCTGGAGACGGGGGAAGGACCACTGGGAGTCTTGGCCAGCCAAGCTCCAGGGTTAGCGAGGGACTCTGTCTCCAGGAAAGAAGACAGAGAGTAGTAGAACAGGATGCTGACACCTCCTCTGGCCTCTGTGTCTGCATGTATGTGCACACACACATATATATCATGTACACTCACATACATATGCAGAAGTAGTAGTCAAATTAAGTAGAGGTCAAATTAAAAAAGGAAAACTTGACCACAAAAAATATATAATCCTGTTCTTTGCTCCTTGCCCCAGTTCATGTGTATGATACGGCATGGTATGTGTATGTATAGTATGTGTGTGGTATGTGTGAGTGTAGTATGATATATGTGTGTATGGCGTGTGTATTGTGTGTGAGTGTAGTATGGTATATTTGTGTATGGCACGTGTATTGTGTGTGAGTGTAGTATGGTATATGTGTGTATGGTATGTGTATTGTGTGTGAGTGTAGTGTGGTATATATATGTATGGTACATGTATTGTGTGTGTGAGAGTGTGGGCATACCTATTTGCATATGCAGAAGTAAGAGGACTTTGAGTGTCTTGCTTCTCACTCTTCTCCTTATTCCCTGGAGCCAGGGTCTCTCCTTGAACTGGAAGCTTGCTGATTTTGCTAGGCTGACTGACAATGAGCTCCCAGAGTCTGAGTGTCTCCACTTCCCAGCATTGGGGCTACAGGCATATACAAACACTCCCAAGTTTTCTACCTGAGTGCTGGGAATGTGAACTCAGGTCCTCATGCTTGCACAAGTGTTCTTACCCATGGAGCCCTCTCCCCATCCAGACCTCCCTGATTATTTTTTGGAGTTTCTTTAGAGTTACATAGTTAGAGACAGCGTAAAGTTAAGTGTAACCAAAATTCCAAAGCCATTGTAAAAAGTACTTGATGAATATGGGAACTAGAAGAGAGAAGGGAAAGGTAGCTCCATTCAAGCCATTATTTTAACTCAGTCTTGGTAATTATAGAATAAGTGCTGCATCCTCTATTTCTTCCACCTGTGGAGCTGAAGGTTTTTATTAAGGCGTGACCTCAGTTCCTACTCTCACCTCTCTGTAGTTAGAGAGCAGATGGAGTTGTGGTTCGGCTCTGCTGCCCTCCTGGCACAGCTGATCTGAGCCACAGAGGACAGAGAGAGGAAGCTGTGCACAGACAATCCGGGTCCCGGCTACTACCAACGGTTAGGGTGGGAACATGAGCTTTGAAGGAAAACAGTGGCACACACATTTACATCCTCCCACGTATAGACACTTAGACACCTATATCCTTACACTTGACTGTCTAGCTCCTTTAGGTATATGGCGAGAGACTGAAAAACATTGAGTGCAAATGGGCATGACTCTTGGTAGCCTAATCTTGACTAGGAAGCTGCCAAGGAAGCGGGTTCCGCAGTCACCTCGCTGCAGCTTTCTTCACACGCCCAGTTTCACTGTGAAGAATGCCTGATGAGCCATGGTGACCTTAGCAGTACTGCCAGGGACAACTCCACAGACCGCCCTCTGGATGTCCTAGGAGTCTGCTCCACACAGCCCTTTCATGTCTCCCTCCAGTATTTCCTATCTCATATAGAGCTGTCTGCTCAGATCCCTTTCAGGCTTCATCCCCCCCGGCTTTCAGGTGAATCCTTTAAGGCCACGCTTCCCACACCCTTGATTATTGTTCCATTGAGTTGCCGATCTTTCTTTCTCCATCATGGAATCTTCAGCATAAGGGCCTATAGCCAAGGCTGCTGGGGACGATACTACAACGGCAGTTGCTAGAGCCACCATCTCTCTCCAAAACTCTTGGTCCCTTCAGCTGCCCTACTAAAATAGAAAGATGGTGTCTTCAATATCTTATAGACTATAGTATGTCCTTTAGAACCCACCAATTGGCTTCATTCTCTGCCGTGAGAGCACATATGCCATGGCTAAGGAACCACACTGCTGTATTCAAGTGTGGTCAGTGTTGGTGACTTCATCACTCTCATCTCCAGATGACAGACCTCTCTTCCCACCACTCCCACTCGACACCAAGCTGAGACACCTCTGCTGTCTCTCCTGCTGTGCTACAGGGTTTGCAATGTGTGGTTTGCTTGTAGTCGGGTTCCAGAGGTTGGTAATGGAGAAATGAATTTGAGTGAACGCAGGGGTCACTAGTAGACAGATTCTGGTGTCCATCCAGTGGGCTACAGCTGCCATTTTTTTAGGCTGGGTGGATGACAGTAAACTCTTTTACCTGTGTACCTTTCCATGGGAGTCTGTGACTGACACAGAAGTCAGGTTTGGGAGAGTGGACATGGCCGCAGAGTGGGGCCTCTGACGCCCACCAAAGGAATTGTCAATAGCTGTAGTCTCACTGTCCAGACCTGAACCAAAGGCCTAGCTCAGTGCTAATGCATTCACCACGGAAAGCTAAGATACTGTGTGACTGTTTACTTTATTTCCTAGGCTCGCATCCAGCACGACCTTTTCTAATCAAGCAGAAAGGTAAGAACGTTGAGTGGGTCTCGTTTCTCTAGGTTCTCTGTGCATGTCCACACGGTTCTGACACTGGCCACGGACAGGCGTGCCCCAGGAAGACAGCTGCTATTCCTTTGCAGCCCCGCTAATTTCTGATCAGATTTGTGCATTTACGCATTGACTCGTTTCAGTTAGCAAGTACTTTTAAGCCCAACTTGTAATAGTTCATTGGTTTGCTTTTTAAAGTTTAATTTATTTATATTTTATGTATGAGTACTCTGAATATATACCTGCATGCCAGAAGAGGGCTTCAGATCCTATTTTAGATGGTTGTGAGCCACTATGTGGGTGCTGGGTATTGTACACTGGAAGAGCAGCCAAGGCTCTTAACCCAATGAGCCAGCTCTCCAGTCTACTTAAGAGACTGCTGCTGTTGTTCTGTGCATGTGTGTGTATTAGTTTTTGTTGTCCGTTACATTGCAAATCCAACCAAGGGCCTCAAGCATTCAGGGAAAATGCTCTACTGCAGAGCAGAGGGCACAACAAGGACAAGGGCTTTAAGTCTGGAACGAGGATGGTGAGTTTGGAAACAGACCAAGGTGGCTTCAGAGAACATGGCCGAAAATGAAACGAAAGAGATAGAGGCACCCAGGCCAGATAGCAGCATGGAGGTTACTGTGGGGAGTTCAGCTTTTATTGAATACACAGGGAACAAAGCGAGGACCAGCATGCTTTGCCTTAAAACACTCAAGACCCTCTGTCTTAGCAGGGCTCATGCGTATAATACACTCCTGTTGACAGACACCATGTAGTACTTTAGCGTTCCTTTTCTGTTGTAAAATTCACAGAAGAAAATACACAAACCCTAAATACCTAAATCCCCTGAGTTTGGACAGGTAGCTTTGCCTGCAGACCTGAGACCCTGTCAAGACACAGAGCTTAACCATGATTCCCAGAAAAGTCCACCTCATACCATGCCAGCTGCCCTCCATTCATAGGAGGAAACACGATGTTCTTCAGCCATGTATTAGTTTTTGCCTGCCTTAGGGCTTTGCATGCGTGCAGCTGTGTTGCCTGCGCTCCTTCGTGTCTGCCTTCTGCAGGTAACCATGCTTTGAGGTTTATTCATGCTGTCTATTTGTCAAAGCTGGCCATGCACCATGCACCACATGGTTTATTTGGGTTTTTATTCAAGGGTATCTGGATTATTTCTGACTTGGTGCAATTTCTTTGCCGTTATGAACATTCTTATATAAGGTTCTTTGTAAATACTTTATTTCTCTTGGAAATGGAATTGTTGGGTCACATGAGTCATGCATGATTGATTTTTTTAAAATAAGAAATCAGAATTTCTCTTACATAAATATGGTTGTATAAAAATGGTCGTGCTAGGGGCTGGAGAGATGGCTCGGCAGCTAGGAGTGCTTGCTGCTCTTCCAGAGGTCCTGCCTTTGTTTCTCAGCGCCCCCCCCCCCATGTTAGTCAGCTCACAACTGCCTGTACTTCCAGTTCTGGAGGGCCCAGTGCCCTTTGGTGACCTCTGAAGGCATCTGAACGCTTGTGTTCATACTCACACATGGGCACTTAAGTGAAAGTAAATATTAAATGAGGCTTATGCTATTTCTCTTATGTCAGATAATTATATTATTTTATATTCCCACCATCAGCGAGACTTGGGCTATCCCATATCCTTGCCAGATTCTGACATCGTTGGTATCTTTAATTATAGCAGATGGGGTGGCTATGTGGTGGCTGTCTCTGTAGTTTTAATATGCATCTTCCTGATGACATTTTTTCAAGTGCTCACTGACTGTTTTATATATTCTTTCCTGAAGTGTCTATTTAAATATTCTTTTCCATCTTTTTAACATGCTGTTTTCTTTCTACTCTGTAGTTATAGGGCTTCGCAGTATAAATACGTTTTTAGAATTTTTTACCCATGTCGGACTTACTCAGGCATTCTCTTGATGCTTTAATTTGCTGACAAGTCTTTAATTTAAAGGAACTCTAACTTATCCAAGCTTCAAAGTATGTGTGGTTATGAATTTTTAGTGGTCAACTAAGAAAGCTCGTCTACTGCCAACTCATGGGTGTTCTCTTTTTCCTTCCAGACACTTCAAGACCTTAGCATTTATATTTAACACTTCATGTGTTCCATCAAAATTATTTTTTATATACGGTGTTGGGTTGCAGTAGGATCATTATTTTTATTCACGTCCAATATCAATCTATGTTGGCACCTTCTTGTTTTAAAGACTCCTTTTCTCATTGACCCACTGTGAGAAACTCCAGGTACCAATGTGGTAGCTTGTATCTGGGCTTCCCACCTGGCTCCTATAGTCTTTATACTGATCCTCAGTCTAGCTCAGAGGCTCTCAACCTTCCTAATGCTGTGGCCTTGTGCTGTGGTGGCCTCCCAATCATAACATTATATCATTACTACTTCTGAACTACTGCGTTTTTGCTGCAGTTATGAATTACAATGTAAATATCTGATATGCAGGATAACTGATATTTGACTCCCAAAGGAGTCTAAACCCAAGGTTGAGAACCAATGATCTCATGCCACACAGTCAAGATTACAGTGGTGTTACAGTGGTGAGTCCTGGCATCAGGTAGCAGGGGTCCTCTTCCTTAGTGTCTTTTCTTTTTTGATTTGTTTAGATATCTAGATTTTTAATTTCCAAATTAGTCTCTCTCTCTCTCTCTCTCTCTCTCTCTCTCTCTCTCTCTCTCTCT